ATGGTCTCGATCTCTTGACCTTGTGATCCACCCGCCTCGGCCTCCCAAAGTGCTGGGATTACAGGCTTGAGCCACCGCGCCCGGCCTATATTTTATATTATACAATTTACATAATGATTTATAAAATATACCATTGGCAATGTATTTATTTGAGTGTTCAATGTACAAAAGTAATATGTTTTTGGCAGAACTAAGGCAATATAAAAATAAACAGAGTAAAGTGGAGAAGCTTCTCTTCATCACTTCTTCCTTTCCTCCCTTCCTTCCTTCCACTCCATCCACCCCCATCCGCCACCCTCCAAGACAGAGTCTTGCTCTGTCACCAGGCTGGAGTGCAGTGGCATGATTCGGCTCACTGCAGCCTCTACCTCCCAGGTTCAAGCAATTCTACTGCCTCAGCCTGCCAAGCAGCTGGGACTACAGGCATGCTGCACCACGCCCGGCTAATTTTTTGTGTTGTCAGTAGTGACAGGGTTTCACCGTGTTGGCCAGGATGGTCTTGATCTCTTGACCTTGTGATCCACCCGCCTGGCCTCCCATAGTGCTGGGATTACAGGTGTGAGCCACCATGCTTATCCTACTTTTGTAATTTTTTTTGAAAAGTATGTGCAATGGCTTAAATGTGTCCCTCATAGTTCACATGTTGGAACATAATCTCCAATACAACAGTGTTGGGATGTGGGTCCTAATAAGAAGTGATTAGGTTACGAGGGCTCTATCCTCATGGATGGATTAATGGTATTATTTCAGAAGTGAATTAGTTATCTAGAGGGTGGGCTTGCTATAAAAGTTCAGGCCGGGTGCAATGGCTCATGCCTGTAATCCCAACACTTCGGGAGGCCGAGGCTGGCAGATCACGAGGTGCAGAGATCGAGACCATCCTGGCTAAAACAGTGAAACTCTGCTTCTACTAAAAATACAAAAAATTAGCCGGGTATGGTGGCGTGCACCTGTAGTCCCAGCTACTCTGGAGGCTGAGGCAGGAAAATAGCTTGAACCCAGGAGGCAGAGGTTGCAGTGAGCCTAGATCGTGCCGCCGCACTCCAGCATGGGCTACAGAGCGAGACTGTATCCAAAAAAAAAAGTGAGTTTAATTCTCTGTTGCTCTCTTATCATGTGATGCCTTCCACATGTTATGATGCAGCAAGAAGGTCCTCACCAAATGTTTACCCCTCAACCTTAGACTTCCAGCCTCCAGAATTTTAAGAAGTAAATTTCTCTTCTTTATAAATTACCCAGCTTGTGTTATTCTATTGTAGCAACACAAAACAGAGCAAGACAGTGTGTGTAGGTAAGTAAATAACATCAACAAGAAAAAGATCAGAAAGAGTAAAATCCATACTGTTAGCACTAGATATGCCTGAAAAGTAAAATTAGAAGTGATTGGAAAGGGGCCAGGTGCAGTACCTCATGTATGTAACCCCAGGACTTTGAGAGGTCGACACAGATGGATCACCTGAGGTCAGGAGTTCGAGACCAGTCTGGCCAACACAGTGAAACCCCATCTTTACTAAAAAGACAAAAATTATCCAGGCGTGGTGGCGATTACCTATAGTCCCTGCTATTTGGGAGGCTGAGACAGGAGAATTGCTTGAACCAAGGAGGCAGAGGTTGTAGTGAGCCAAGATCACACCACTGCACTCTAACCTGAGTAACAGAGCGAGACTCCATCTCAAAAAAAGTGATTGGAAGGGGATTATTTTCCCTATTTTTACTATGCATCCCTTTGTATTGAATTTAAAGATTTTACAGTGAGCATTTTTGAATTTAAAAACAAAGAAGAGTATGTAGTTATTTTTTCTTGCCTTTCCCTTATATGAATTATCTGTACTTGTGCTTGACCCACTGAGTAGATAATTTTCAGCAAATTTCATTGGAACATAGTAATGGATAGATTTCAAGAGTTAACATGATTTTAATGAGATTTGCAATTTAAAGACTGGTGCTCCTTGTCTTGTAGCACTTGGCTTAAATACATATAGTCTTTAACTTTTGATGGTTTGACTTATGATTGTTTTGACTTGACCATAGGTTTGTCAGGGTATTAAATGTATGTTCCACATATGATATTTTTTATTTATGATGGGTTTATTGGGATACAATCCCATTGTAGGTTCAGGAGCATCTGTATTACCTTTTTAGTACCTCTGAGGATTTTTTTTTTTTCGATTACCAAAAGAGCCTTCTAGTTGTTATCACATTGCCTTGTTTTATTTTATTATATCTTCTACTCTTACTTATTTTGATAGTTTTTTATTTTTAATTATTTTCTCTCCACTAAAATGTAAGATTGATGAGAACAAGACCATTCCTTGGTCATTCTTGTGCCACAGGGCCTAAAATAATTATTGGAATATAATAAGTAGTTAATAAATATGTATAGAATGAAAGAAATGATACATGTTCTTACAAGTTCAGGAACTTATGAAGCCACCCGGGGATGGTTCAGCTATGGTGAACTGCACTTAACACTGGATGGGTGATAATTTATAGGAGTCTAATAATACATTTATTTATTTATAGTGGTAGACATAAATAGTATAATAACAAAACAGTATATGCGATACATTTTTTCAAGCGTTACTATGCCAAAACCACACTTTTATCAAAGAGTCATTGAATAGCACACGGAAACTGAGAAAAAGAGAGACGGTGGTATTAAAAAAACACTTAATGCTATACTCTGGCTGTAGGTTGTATTGTCTAACAAGTGCATTAGCTAGTAAATATTTGTCCTTGGTACTGAGAATTATGAGAGGCAACATGAATGACTTGGTTTTGCTGGTACAACCGTAAAAACAAGTTAAATGCCGCCCAATTGATGGGGGATTATTAGATTGTATACCTAGGCAAACAAAGAGGAATATTAAGTTGATCGTACAGGTTGTTAAAAAATGAAAAAGTAAAAATATATATAAGGGATGGTTTCAAAAAAAATCTGAAGCAATGGGTAAGTACTTCTTAAGCTCATTGATGCAAATGCAGATTTCCTAAGATCTGAGGGAAAAAATAAAACAATGAAAAAAAAAGGGAAATGCAGATTTTTATTTTTCATTTATTTAAATGGAGTAAACCCTGAATCTGAATTAGGTTTTGCCCATAAATCAAAACCATACCATTCAGTTTGACAAGATGGAGGTAGATACTTAAAAATCTTTAGAAATATTTGGGAAGATAGATAAATGGTATATAAGTAGTAGCAGTGATCAATTATTATTTTTCATTCACTGTAACATAGTAGAGGAGAGTGGAGTGTTATAGTTAGATCTTCAGCTGTGTTTCCCACTAGTTTTGTGACCTTGGGTAAATTATCTATACTCTCTGTGCCTCAGTTTTCTTGTCCGTATAATTGGGATAATAAATGCTTCCTCAAAATTGTTGGTAGCTTTAAGGAGAACCTGTGTGTGAGTTTGTAGTTCTTAAGATAGTGCTGCCTGGCAGATAATGCACTGTCACGTATTGCATCCCTTGCTATTGTTATCCAGCAAATAGGGGGTACTTATTTCAGCAACTGTACTGAGGATGGGAAGATCCTACCCTAGAGGAATTCACAGTTTAGGTTCGAGACTGTACGTCTTCTCTATTTTCAACCCAGCTCTTTTTTTTCCCCCAAATCTTGTATTTTGTTTCTAAAGGAATAAATTCAAGGATTTAGTCTCAATCTTTAATTTTACCTGATAGTCAAAGAAATGGTTAGAAAATTGACCTGCTCCCCTGAAAAAAGTAAAATATTTTAAAGCCATTTTAAATTTTGTTTTATAGATGCTAGTTTGCTACTGATGGGTGTGAGCAAGTTAGATATCCTATACCGGAGACTTCTCCTAACAAAACTTTTTATCAGAGGATGGGGAAGGCCAGAAGATCTCAAAAGGCAAGCAATTTTTTTCCTGAATACTTGTTCCAAATTTGTTGTTTTAATGAACATTTGAAACTTTGTTATAAAATCCCTTACTCTTAAATATAGAGCAATTATCCAGCAAATTAAACATTAAACTATGTAAAATGTGATTATTTTTTCTTTTGTCTTTTTAGTTATTTCTCTTAAATTTTAGCCAATATCATAAATTGTACTGTTATAAAAATAATTCAGATTTATTTATTTATTTATTTATTTATTTATTTTTTGAGATGGAGTTTCACTCATGTTACCCAGGCTGGAGTGCAATGGCACAATCTCGGCTCACCGCAACCTCCGCCTCCTGGGTTCAGGCAATTCTCCTGCCTCAGCCTCCTGAGT